AAATAAATAAATGAAACGGTTACAATGACAGCAGTGCATAATTGCGATAGGAAGGGACAGGACGGGGGACGCGAGCGCCACGTCGAACACTGGCAAAATTGTATACCTACAAATCCGTCCGTTTAACTTGCTCATGTACTACTTTTTGTGAAATGTAACTGGGTGACTACTTACATATGTATGTGCACTATTTTGCTTTATTACTCAATTGTTACATTTAAAAGTTGGTCATATTGCTCCATGAGAAATAAAATAAAGCAAATTTATGTTATTTCACATTCAATTGGGAAATAACACAAATTTGCGGTTTTGCCGTTTGTGTTATTTCACAGTTGCTCCGCTACTGCATTGCAGAGGAGGGTTTTGTAAGCATGCCAATATGCTTTCAACGCACAGAGCCTCATTCATTGAATCGTTTTAATGTGACAGTATGCCGACCAATGCTCTAGCGTTCCTCCAAAAATTTCGAATACTCCCTGCATGCATGTAAAAAACACTCCCTAAGGGTCAAGGGGTACTCCAAAACTAACCACAATTCATATAAATAATGTGGTCCAATAAACATGGCGGCCATTGTGGTGTTTTGGTAAACAGTGCGAGCTTCCACTCCGCAGGCCCTGGGGTCAAGCCCTGATCAAAGCAACATCGCAAAAAAATATAGAAAAAAGGTTTTTTTCTTAACAGCACTCGCCCCTTGGCTGGCAATGGCGTACCTCCATGGTGTTCTGCCATGAAAAACAGCTTCTCATAAAAATACAATCGCCGTTCGGAGTCGGCGTAAAACTGTAGGTCCCTCCCCATTGTGTGACAACATCAAGGCGCACGCCAAAAATCGGAGAAGAAGCTCGGCCAAACACTAACATATGTGTAAGCGCCAACCTACTATTATTATTACAAATTAACATTGTGCTGTCCAAGGGCAGGACCATATACTCCAGCTCTGCATTACACCAGAGTAGCACAAAACTACTCAAATATACTAACAATGGAATTGTTGATATCTTTTTCGTTTGTTTGTTTGGTTCATCACTTCACAGATGCAAATTAACATTGTGCTGTCCAAGGGCAGAACCATATACTCCAGCTCTGCATTACATCAGAGTAGCACAAAACTACTCAAATATACTAACAATGGAATTGTTGATATCTTTTTTGTTTGTTTGTTTGGTTCTTCACTTCACAGATGCTTTTTTGCTAATAATAAAACCAAAAGCACAAATAAAAAATTACATGTTGCCTCTAATGGCATTCGAACCCGAACCTGCTGGGAGCT